TTTTGTTTCTTGTGTCTTTCCTTCCTTCGTTGATATGGCTTCCTTCTCACGATAACTATAGGGAGGGGCTTACTTTTTCCCTACCTCACCCCCTTTTCCGTCACGTTTTACACACACACACATATATATATATATATACATATTTCTCCAGTCTTCATCGATGCCCATTTTCATCACGCCTGCGGACCCGCCTTTACGCACCGCGAGGAGGCCGTTGCGCAGTTCCGCGCCTGTCTTACCCGTAGAGCCCCTTCATCGCATCGACGACCATCTGGAAGCACTTCGTCACGTCGACCTCGTACGGCAACTTTTCTTGTATCAGCTGACAGAGCACGGCAAGGAGGGTTTCACGCGTCGGCCGTGCCATCTTCTTTTCATCAAAGCACACAAAGACACGCTCCCCCTTCTCAAGGCATTTGCGGAGGTAGTCCAGCAGCACCAGGTAGCCGCCACACTCGTCGTACTGCGATTCCGCCACAATAAAGTAGCTGTGCAAAAAGCGACATGCCGCGCGACGCAGAATGGGCGGCCGGGCCCGCATTGCATGCGGTGTGCCTCCCCTTTCGTCCGTGGCGATTGGCAGCGGCGTCTGCAGCGTGCGTCTCACGTTCTCCGGCAGATCTTCCAAGTCGTCGGCGAAGTGCTGCCCAACTTGCTCCATGTTCTCCGCGGCAACCTCGCCAATGGGGAGCCAGTCCCCAAAGTGCGGCAGCACCACATGCCGAATGTCAAGGGTTTCCAGCACAGAGAGGCTGAATAGGTGAATGCTCTTCGCCGCGGTGAAGATGGGGACCTCTGGGCACACCTGGCGGGGGCAGATGTCGTTCCACACCACCACCACCGATGAGACGCTCTGCAGCAGGTGCGTCCACTCCTCCACGAGAACAGGAAAGTCGTCCAGGACTAACTCTAGGCTGGGGCAGGTCTGCAGCGCCGCTGGGAGGTGCGCCAGCGGATTGCCACTCAGCCGGACCTGCCGCAGGCAGCGGCTGGAAAAGACGGACCTCCCCGCCGCATCCGTGCCAACGTTGCGAACACAGTTGTTGTGCAGGGAGAGGCGTTCTAGCATGCCCGCCTTGAGGATATCCGCCGGGGCATCCGGGATGCGGTTGTTTGCGAGGTCAAGTTTGCGCAAAAGCGGGGCGTCGAGAACCTCAACCGGGAACTTGCTGAGCGAGTTATTCGTGATACTCACCTCGCGCAGTAGCCGAAAACGCGAAAACTCGGCGCCACCAATGCCGCAAAAGCCATTGTTCGCTAATTTAATTTCCGTCGTCTTGTCGCTTGCATCATTAATAAATGAGGGAAACTCCTTTAGCGGCATACCAGTGAGTTTAAACTGCCCCCGCTTCAGTGTGTCCAACATCATGGAGACAACCTGAAGAACATCCGCCTCCGTTGTGGAGGGATTATCTGGGTCAATGGAGTCCGTTAGCAGCATGGGGTGCGTGTCGACAGCGTTGGCGTTGTACATCGTATCGCTTTCCAGGGGGCTGGCGTCCCCCGCGTGGGCCTTCCGCCGCAGCTTGCGAATCGCCCGCATGCCGTGGAAGCAGTCCTCGAGCCCTCTGCCCCGCACCACCGTTTCCATCGCGCGCGCGTAGAGCTCGGTTGGCGACGAATTCGCGTTCGTCTCAAGCGCCCCGGAGAGGACCGACCGCACCTCGGCGTCCCCCATGCGAAAAAACGGGTGGTGTGCCGCCTCCTTCAGGAGCATGCGCTTGGAGATGTCCTTCTCCAGCATCTTAGAAAGGAGGTCCCGCAGCTCCGGGTCACTATCGGGTGGAATGCTTATGGGTTCATCACTCAAAAGACTCTCACGCAGGTCGTGGAGGTTCTCTGTGGCGACTGGGAGGACGCCAAAGGCCATTTGGTACACCGTCAAGGCAAAGGCCCAGCTATCCACCACGTCGCCTGGCACGCGCCCCCCGGTCATTAGCTCTGGGCACGAGTAGGCAGGGGTGCCGTCGGTGGTGATGTTCTTCATCTGACTACTGCAGGTGCCAAAGTCGGCGATTTTCACGACGTCATTGTCGTCCACAAGACAGTTGGCGGGCTTGATGTCGCGGTGAAACAAATACTGGCTGTGAAAGTGCAAGAGCCCAGCCATAATGCCCTGGCTGTACTTGCGCACCGTTTCTAAAGGGAGGGGTGGGTTGCCGGGGGTGTACACAGGCCCCTTTGCGCAGTACTCCATAATGAGGTACAACTTCTTTGCCTCCGTGTCATCAATCACCTCCTTAAGTTTCACTATGTTGGGATGGGACACAAACTTCATCACGGCAATCTCACGCAGCCAGTCATCTTCAAAGGCGGACTTTCCCTGAAGGGCGCGCCGCGCCTTATTTGTGTTGTTGTGGCGCAGAATTTTCAGCGCATACAAGGTGTGATCCCGATAGTGCTGTACCAGGTTCACCTTGGCATATGACCCCTTACCAAGCAGCCTAACAACCACGTAGCCGTTGATGACCTTATTCCCCTCACTGTTGCGGCTTTTACTTACCAGTGCCGACCCTGTCGCACCACTGCGAAGGGCCCGCCGGAACGGTCTGATTTCGTGCTCATGCACGGCACTTCCGTTTGTTTGGTAGCAGTTACTACAGATCACTGCATTACACTCCTCACAGTGGTAGACAAGCTCCACATCGTTAATCACCCGCGCACACACGTCACATGGGTCGTAGAAGAGGCTACTGGCACCCTCGCCTGTCGTCCCCACGCTGGTGCTCAAGGTTCGGCTACCAAGCGACGCCAAGCCATAGATGGCAGTCAGTGGGTGCAGCGGGTTATGATCGCAGCGTCCACTGGAGAGGCATTCGTCGCAGACGTAGAAGGACTCGCAGTACTGGCACTCGTACGTTACGGAGGCGGAGTGGCAGTAGAAGCACTCCTGCGGTTTGTTGTAGAAGACGGCAAGGTTGGGGGCCTCGTCGTCGCCGTTGCTGAGCGCCCCACCAGAGCCCCTGCGAGTTTCCTCGTTGTCGTTGACGGACTTGACGTCAAACTCATCGTCAGTGGCCAGAGTCGGGATCTTGAGCTCACCGCCAGAGACGTCGCTCCAGTTGGAGTCCGGGCTGTGGATGCTGCTTCGCCCCTGTGGGAAGTTGTCGCCGTCGCAGCTACAACGTTGGCCGTTGCTGTGGGTTTTGACGGCGCTCTCCTCGCGCGCCACGGCTGCCTCCTTACGCGACCCCCCGCCGCCGCCGTCGTCGCCGTCGTCGTTCTGCTGACAGTTTTCACTGAGGCCCTTGTTGCTGGGGGCCGGCGCGGGCAACTCAGCCGGTGGAGTCAAGCGCGGGGGAGCGACCTGCAGCTGCACCGGAGCCGAGGCCCCACAACCCATCCCTGCCCTGAGCACGCCGCACCCGCTACACACACACAAACAACAAAAAAAATTGTCTTCCTCTTTATTCTACCGTTCACCGGTTCCTAGCGACGTTGCAGCTAAGGGTGTTCCCCCACTCTTTTTTTTTCTTTTCTTCTTGTTCCTCTCCTCGTTATTCCGCTTTTTGCGTCTCTTTCTCTACCTCTCACGCTGTGGCGGCCTGCAATGTCCTACCCGCCGTCGTCGCCGCTGCGTAGTTGCGTCTCGGCGTGGAGGCGGAACACTCACACGCTCACGTCCACCACAAATGCCGCAAGGCAACGTCTGCGTCGGGCCCCCCAACACGCAGCGACGCAAAAAAAAAATAAAATAAAAAAAAACGGTGAGGAAAAAGGAAAGAAAGAAAGCAGGGAGGTCACGGGCGGGGGGGATGGATGACGGCACCGAGAGAATAGAAAGGGATGCACAGACACCCGGGAACGTAGCACACAAGGCAACGCCACATCACCGGTTGCCCCCACCCCAGGACGCCGCGCATCACGCACACGATACAGGCGGAGGAAAATGATGGGGAAACACCAACCACTCAACAACAACACCAATAAGAAGGAATACGGCGAGCATGTGACGCCTCTCCCATTCCGTCCTCCTCCTCCTCCCCCCCTTCTGCCTCATTGAATACTATGCCTGCGCCAGCAGCTTCTTCACCTCCTTCTCCTCCCACCAGCTTGGGATCGTGATGGTGACCGGCACGGCACCCTTCAGCGCCAGACCAGGGGCCGTCCTCGTCGCGGCGTCCACGTAGCGCAGCCGCAAGAGGCCGAGGCCAACGTCCCCGCTGACGGCAAGCACCTCACCCACCTTTTGCCCATCCACCAACAACGCCTCACCCTTCGCCACCGCCCGCCGCTCACCACCCGTTCCGCCGTGAAGGGACGCTGGCAGTCGCAGTGGGACGGTGCGTTTGCGGGTCACCAGCATGACGTGGGTGCGGTGGGTGAGCTCCTGGCCCAGGTAGCACCCCTTGTGGAAGCTGACGCCCCGGAGGAAGTCCGTGTTGCACTCAAACGGAAGTGACTTGGCGGGCCTAAAGACGTCCGGCCCCTCCCCAACGCCGGCGGTGTACAGCAGCGTCTCATACAGCGTCGCCGGATCGGCCGCTGCGGCCGCCGCCGCCGCGGGGAGAATGCGCTTCTCAAGCGGCGCGGGAAGCGCGAAGCTGCGGGGGTCCGTGAAGACTTCGCCCCCACACGCGAGCAAGGCCTCCTCCTCCTCTTCCCCCTTCTCTGCGTGGACTCCGTCGTCCCCCCACGACGAGGCGGCCACGACCACCAACTCATTTCCAGCGTTGTGAATCTGCACCCGCCTGCGCATGCGCATCTCCAGCAGGTGGTCGTACAGGACGTCTGCCACGTCGCGGTGAACATCCACGAGGATACTTGCCTCTCCCTCACGAGCCCGAGCGAGCTGGTACAGGTAGGCGTCGCACATCACTCGGCCAGTGTGGTACAGGAAGCATCCCCATATGCTTCCGCCCGGCTGCAGCAAGTGCAAATCGTTTGTGAAGAGTCCCTGGAGGAACTCATGCGCCGCTGCACCGGAGACGCGAAGCAGCGAGCGCGACGGCAAGAGGCAGCTGAAACCCATGCACGCTGCTGCTGCTGCTGGAAGCGGCACCGACGCACATGAACGGCATAGCAATTGACGACAAACACCCCACAAGCAAAGAAAAAGATAAAAAAGAAGTAGTACAGGAACAATTAGAAGAAGGAAAGAAAAGATATAAGCAGCCACACGTCACTGCAAATGTATGCGCTCCCACACACACGGGGGAAACAAAAAGAAGAGCTGAAGGTAGCCAAAAACAACGCCATCGCCGGCTCATGTGTCATGTGTGACGACAACGCGGGCAGTCGCAGGAGAAGCCGTAGTAGGACAGCAGGTACGCCCGTCGCTCCGCCCCTGACGTGTGTACGCTCAGGTCAACGTAGGAGGAGCGTATCTCCTCGCCCCGCTCAATGTCTCGCAGCGCCACCACTACCGCCCGCACCCTGCCGTGCGTTGGAACAAACCGCGCGGAGGGCACACAACTGTGGTTGAGCTTCGTCGCGGCGTCGTACAAGGCAACGCCCGTGGCATGTGCGGAGGCCGGCTCCACGACGCAAAACAACTCCCGCAGAGCACCCATTTGTCGACCCAAACGCATCAACGACGGTTCTCCGGCGTCGCCGCCCCGCCGACATATCGCCTGCAGCGTCGGAAGCTGCTGGCAAAGGAGGCTGTACAGCGGGGAGAGGACAACAAACATGTGCACGTTGGCGTCTGTCAACCAAAAGCACCGCAGATACAACTGGAGAGGCAACCACTGGAAAGGCGCTGGCGCGCCCGCCACCCCCGTCGCTTCGAGGCAGCAAAGATCCAGCCAGCGAGAGACGCATTTCCAAGAGAAGCGCAGAAACGCACGCTGCTGCTCCGTCAGGGGACGTGCTGCACCCTCCGCGAACCTCATCACAAAATCCTGCACCCTCGCAGCAAACCGACTCTGAAGCTGCTCCGCAGAAATGGATGCATCTTGCAAGGTGTCATTCAGGCATCGAGCGAGGAGTGACAAAATAAGACAAAGTCGCTCGTTAAAGCTATCCGCCAAGTACTCCAGTGTCGCCAAGACGTGGGCTTTGCTGGGCCACGCCGCCTCCACCGCTGCCGCATCCAAAGCGGCAGCAAGACACATGATCGTATTGGCAGAGGGCTTCTGCAGGCTATGGGGCGGCAGCGTCGTGTTTGCCGCTGGCGCAACTGCTGCCTGTAGCACAGCTGTTGATGCAGCCGACAGGAACCTCCCGCCCATCTCGTGCAAGTATCGATGTTTGCACAACTGTGAACAAAATCGCGCCCCACGCGGCGCCCTCCTTTCAGACGACTCCTCCGCCTTATCATCGTCGCTGTCGCCACCTTCATCATCGTCATCATCATCGATTAATACCCCGCGGCAGAAGAAGTCAGAAGCTGCAAACTCCTTCAGTGTTTCTTGCAGGGCGTACGGGGAGCAAATAATCTCCGCTACCTCTCCCTCGTTACACCCCCCGTGGCTTGTGTCACCCGTAACCTTCAGCAGATTCTTAGTGGCACCAACGGCACGTTCGGCTTCCACGCAGTGCCGTTCCTGCACCGCCGCGTGGGCGAGACGCGCCAGACGCTCACACTCCACCGCAAGAGTAGCAAGGATCATCCCACAGCCCCTGCAGCAACGCACTCCCGCTGGTCCTCGCTGGGAGGCAAGTGACTGAGCGAAGACGAGAGGCATCTCCTCCAGCACGACATCACCGGCGCAAAACGACTTCATGGCGAACGTACCGACACCGTAGCTCTCACCCATCTCACGTACCTCGACAAACTTGGCCATGCCAAAACCAGCCACCCTTCTTTCCTCACGGCTGTCTGCCGCCGTGCGGTGACAAGCGAGTGGTGGGTTAGGGGAGGACGGGAATGAAGCGGCGTGTGACGTGGAGGCCAGCCCAAAAAAAGGGAAAGAGCACAGTCACATCTATGGACACACAGAGAGACAGAGCCGCAACGGCACCCTCTCACACATCTTTACAGAAAAAGGAAGGCCTTCCCGCAGTATTTCCTTTTCTGTTTCTTCTACCATTTCCACAATTCTTCCACCCTCACACACCCCTACACGCACACGTACGGTGGAACGGCAACGTCGCCGCCCCCGCCCCCGCCCCGGCGCGCGACGCTCACGTCAAAGGTCGCTGGTGGAGAGGCGGTTCACAATCGCTGCCTCAAGCGCCGCCGCTTCGCAGCCCCCAACGCCGTAAAAGTCCTGCACAGCTGCCTCGTCGCAGTACGTCTCCAGCGACGAAAGCCCGTGCTGCGTGCCCTGCACGGCCTCAAGCACGGCCGCAACGTCCTTGTCCGTCGGGGCGTGCAGGACAATCACGGCCGCCCTCGTCGTCTCGGAGCAGGTCAGACGCCTCAGCGCACGGTGGAGGTTCCGCGTGTGGGAGAGCGCGGCGAAGACGTCGGGATCCGTCGGTGCCGCCCTGCGTGCCGCCGCTGCACTATCGTCTGGGCCAATAGCGAGCGGCGCAGTGCTGATGCGGTGCAGCGCCACGACCAGGTGCAGCCTGGATATGATGTA